GTTGTCTCAGATGGTTCCTGTCTTCACAACAAGGTTGTCTCAGACAGTTCCTGTTTTCACGACGAGGTTATATCAAACTGTTCCTGTTTTCCCGACGAGGTTATCTCAAACTGTTCCTGTCTTCACGACGAGGATATCTCAAACTGTTCCTGTCTTCACGACGAGGTTATCTCAGACTGTTCCTGTTTTCACGACGAAGTTATCTCAGACTGTTCCTGTCTTCACAACGAGGCTGTCTCTGATGGTTTCTGTCTTAACAACGAGGCTGTCTCTTATCCCCCCTCCCCCATCCCCCGGTTTCAAAAAGAAAGAGAGTAGATGGAAATCAATAGTTAAAACGTGAAGTTAGTATCGAGAGAATCGGCTTAATTGTATCGGGCTTTATCTGGCACGCCTCGGTCTCTCTTCCCAGAATGACTAGCTACCTGCCGAGATCGTGCACAAAGCAGGAACTCATTATCTCCAACAACGGTCCTCTGTAATCGCCGTAAAAACTGTACTTATGAAGTGGACGCCACGTCCGTGAAACGAACCCGCGACCTTCATTCAGAGCTCGAGACAAACGAGGCTTGACCAGTTTGTCACGAAGACTCCCAGCTACAGCTCTGTTGGCGGCTTTCCGTCTTTCCATGCGATAGTTTCTGTTGTGTTATGAGGAGGCACGAGAATCACGGCCCATGGTTAGTTGCGTATCCTTTACAGGACGTTGCAGAACCAACCTCAACAGCCCCTGGCTGTTGTGTGGTTTTTCTAGGCAAATTTATGTCCAGTAGTTTGCCATTACTTGCTGGACGGTCGGCTTTATTGATACCACTGTCAAAACCAACGCAAGGCGCAGAGCCCGCAGCTGGGATTGAACCCGGTATCCCGGCATTACGAAGCGTTCACATCGACTTAGCCACAGAGCCGACCATAGCCCATGGCGATGACGAATTTTAGCAAGACTCGCCGGCTAAAGAAAAGTCGGCGCTCCTTTGAATCATTCCCCAAAATGGCGGTATGCCATATTCTGGCCATAAAATATCCAAAAATATCCAAACGACGGTGTTTGCGTATATCTAAAATACGGACTTTATGCCAAGGAACAAATCGCGGCAAAACTAGGATTACTTGACAATCAATATCAACATTTGCACACGGTACTAGTAGCAGACGATAAATACCGACCGTTGACAACAATTTCGAGCGTTTCTGCAGACGATACTAGCAGACGATATTAGCGACCGTTGACTAATTTCGAGACATTACAAACGATGAAAGCCGATTAGCAAAACTGTGTTCTTCCGATTGGAGGATTTAGCAGCGGTAGATGTCAGACTTGTTGGCATGCGCCAAACGCGATTAAACTCATCGCCGAGCCTATCCCCGGCGCCGCTACGCGAGGCGCGGATGATGGCTAAACTAGGTGCCTGGGACTCACGAGTGCAGTAATTGGAGGAAGTTGCAGGAAATGCGGTAGCTGCCGCTCGTGAGTCCCAGCCATCTACTTTAGCCCCCATCCGCGCCGCTACGCAGAAGCAGGTCGGCAAGCAACGTATCGCCTAGACCCTGTCAGAGCATTTGTTTCGTTATCCGGAGCCGGCACATATATTTTTAATAGAACTGACCCGCATTCGGATATTTTTGGATATTTTATGGCCATAAATTGGCCAATTTAGCTCTCTTTTGAACGCCATCATATTAAAGCCGCCATTTTGGGGAACGATTCAAGAGAGAGCCAGATTATGTGTTTCCCCTGCTCGGCCTGCCTTGTTTACTCCAAAGGAAATGTGTCACTTAATAAGTTTAGAACAAAACCTACTGCAGAAGGATCAGAAGAGCAGTGTTCTGTCTGTCCGCCTGTCAGAGATTCTCTTGTAGACCAGCTGCCAACCAATGCTAAAGGCCTAGTTTGTCCTGCCATAAATGGAGTTTTAATATTGCATTTCCTCTTCCGAGGAAAATGCTTGTATCCTTCCGCATGTGCTCCTCCACCTGTAGCTAATGGCAGACGGTGGAATGTCATGTTTGACAACATAGGAAAACATCAACAGTCTTGCTTATGCATAATCACGTAACAAAGTTATCACAGTCGTATTAGTAATCATTAAAAACAACAGGCCTCTTTGTTTCTTTAACGAATGTATCATTATTGTCCTGATGTGCCGTTAATTTCACACAGCGCTTACTTTTTATTAATCCATACCGTTATATTCTGTGTAATCAGTTCCGTATTTTGAATGGGATCCAATCCAGCATCTTTTGCCTCTCTCATCAAAGTTCGTGTTCGGTTCTTTTCTTCTTCTGGGGACCCCCATAACATAGGTGCTGGAACTTGGGAGCCTAGGTCCTTTGATCCACAAGCCACCGCCGACCTCCGCAAAGGCGAATATCCCTACAGGGCACTGAAGATATATTGTCTATGAGGGCAGGATAATTAGACAAAGAAAGAAAGACTTTCAGGCGTGCTGTGCAGAGGGTGTTGTTTTGTAAAGAACATGCAGACTGATAATGATGATAGGGTGGGGGGGGGGGGGTGTAGGTGAGCTATTAAAAAATTAAAAGGGGGGTGGGGGAACCTAATCCCTCTAAAATTCTTTGAATAGAATCAATTTGACATAGCCCCAACTCCCTCACCCCATCCCTACGCATACCGACGCCCCTGATAGATTGGTCGTCTCCTCAGTACTGTTTCCAAAAGGTGTACTATACAATCTTAATATAAAAGAATCTCAGTCTGGCTGGCAGACGAATAATGTAGATTCTCGAAAACTGGATTCAAACACTCCCCCCCCCCCCCCCAAGAAGTTATAATCAGGGCGCCCGTAAAGACAACACCAGCCATGTGTGACCTGCAGTTCTGTGCATGCAAGAACAAAATCCCCCTGACCGTAACTTGAGAATTACGACTCATTCCTAAGCCACGCCCCCATGCATATTTCAAATTCCTCTGCTACAATTCCAAACCAAATAAGAATGTAGAACTAAAAATTGGCCACCCACTTCCTCCTTCGCCATCTGTTACCTAATCAACACTTTTTCGAACAAGAGACGCCAACAACACAACCTATCCCCCATACAGGCCTGTCCGAAGTCCGAAGTGACCAGAAGGACAGCAGGCGACAGGGGAGACTGTTACCTCCAGCTTGTGACCAATGAGGCCACGCGCAGGCGCCAACTTCCGTCGGCTGCTAATCAGAGCTACTGAAATTCTTTTTAAAATAGTGCTTTTTTTTCTTGAAAAAAAATATACCACTTGTTACTTGGCCGTATTGACATTCTAGCGCATCGCTCCGACCCATACCTGCCCTGTCTTCTGATGCAGCAGCAATCACAGTGTCTCTATGCTAAACGTACACAGAAGGATACCATACTACACCAAAACGTTCAAAATTTATATCATCATCATCATATGCCTTGCCAGTTGGCGTAGGCGCTCATGCATCTCCACAGATCACGATCCCTGGTTGCCTGGAACAGCTCTCTTTATGATATCCCTCCCCCACCCCCATGCCATCATTTCAGCCCATCCAGCATCATCTCTTTTGGTCTCTATCACTCTGTTCATTGATATTTCCAGTTGTCACTATGTTTTCCAATGCTTCTTCTCATAACATGGTTAAAGAACAGTGTTTGTCTCATTCTTATTGTTGTAAATAGATATCTACTTTCATTAGCTTCTTTCAAACAATCGTTGTTAGTTATTTTGGTTTTCGTAACATTCGTGAACTTTATTTAAATAATATTGAAAAAAACAACAATAAACGTCTTTGTGGATGTGCGTACGCGCGGGTGTGTCTAAATAAAACTGGATTATTTTGTTTGACCAGAATTGAAATTCTTTGTCCATTGCATCATTGCCGTTCCACCCCACCCCTCCTCAGTTTGTTACAAAGATGTTGTGGCGGTTTCCACTTGGTGCAGTTGGTGTCCTAGGGCAATAATTTTGAACTCATCAATGTATTTATTGTTGAAGTCTTTTTGTACCTCAATGCTCTGATTAAAGCGGCCGGTAATCTCTGCCAGGTCTTCATCACTCAAAGCTTTCATGTGGCCATACCTGATCCCACCAGACCCTGGGGCAGTGTCCTAAGATATATGCTAACTGTTCTAGAACTTTGCTACGCAGGTGACACAGTTCTCCTTTCGAACAGCGTAAAGAGAAAAGAAAATGAAATATTGGCTGTCCAAAAGCACAGTAAAGATCAAAATCTGTTCTTGAATCTAAAGAAAACGAGAATAATGTCCCTAGATAAAACTGGATGTCACCCAAAAATAACAATAAATGATGAAGAAATTTAAAATGTCACAAACTTTGAATATCTAGGCTCTATAATAAATAACAATGGAGACTGTTCGACAGAAATTAAAAGGAGGATGGCCATAGCAATGCAAATATTGAACAGCCTTAGAAGTCTATGGTTAAGCACCAGCATGTAGATCAAAATTAGAATTTTGAAAGCATGCATCTTTCCTGTGGCTACATAGGATGTGAGTCATGGACTATCTCTCAGTTTTTAAGAAAGAGAATGGGGACATTTGAGCTGAAATGCTTTAGAAAGATTATCTTGGACAAAGAAGAGGAGAAATACTGACATCTGGAAAGATCTGAACATCAAGGAAGATTGGCTAATAAACAGCATCTTGTCTCGAAAGCTGAAATATTTTGGTCATGTCAAGCACCACGACGGATTGGAAAAAATTATAGCAGAAGGCATGGTACCAGAAAGGAGGGGCAGAGGCCGACCGACACGAAGATGGGCACAGGATATAAGTGAATCCTTGAGTGTGAAAGTACATGAGGCGGGAGAACTGGGGAGAGACCGAGTTTCTTTTAGGAAGACCATGATGAGAGAGACGTTCTGTAAAGGACCTGCTACATGAGGATGATGATATGCTAACTTCTTTTCTGGTGAAAAAAATGTACCAAAAGTTTTGCTCAGTATGAGTAAAAAAATACCAGATTTGTTTGTACGAAAATACCAACTTCGGCAGCCCTGCTACTAATTCCCATTGTCAACATGGCAGAATCCAATAGCAAGTCGGGAATACTGGCTCTAGCGCAGAAACGTCTTTCTCGGACTAAAACTAAAGTAAATACTGTCCTGTTTGCTTTGGTTATGTTTTGTTGCATGTTTGTATTGTGAAAATAGTTACAGCAAGCATTGTTTGTTTTACTGATGCAGGAGAAAAAAAGAAACAACGTCGGGAGAAGGTGGTAGTCAGTGGTTCGACATTTGTAGGAGGGACTAGGGACAGGCACGTTTAAAACTAAAAAATAAAAGCAGGTAAATTACAAAGTATATCTAAACTTTACAGAATTAGTTGAATCAGTTTTACAGAATCACTCATATACTTTGTGTTGTCAATATTTTGTGTATAAACTTGCAAAGCCATACAGCGGTCACCTCTTTTCGATATATGCTAACGGAATGACTATCCGACCGGTGACACTACTAAGTGTCACACTTCATGATCGACTCTGATTGATTGATTTCATGAAGGTTTCACATATTTGGTTTAAAGAGCGCAGTTGAATTAGTTTGACTGTGGGTGTACGAAAATTCTCAGGTGTCTATTATTTTAACTCGAGGTTAGACAGTACTTTCAAGTAGTGTTCTGTTTTTGCTTCTACTTTTACTTCTTCATTTGTCGTCACCTGACCACCTTATCTTTCTCTTGCTCCTTCTTCTGTCTGCCGCTGCACTTTCTTCTAATTTTCTAAAGGAGCAAAGGCCTTGAGCCAACTTACGCCAAACACTTTGCAGGTTGGAGTTTGCAGCTACAGGCCAAGCCAATCTTGTGCCAATCCTCCCGAATGACCCCTTATTTCATGCATGACAAGTTAGTGTTAATATTCTTTGCTGCCTTTCTAGGGCTTGGTGATGCGGGACAGCTTATTAAAATACTACTTCATTTTTGTTTCTGTCACATTTGTTTTAAAATGGTCTCAGAAACTGAAATACTTTGGCCATATTAAAGTACCCCTGTTCACACTTTCCCATTTGGGGCAGAAAATATGAGGGGATTGTGGGTGGAGGAAGGGAAAGGAACTAAGAATAGACCTGCAAGGTGCAGCACTTAACTCTTTGAGTCCCAGGGGGTTTAGCATCACAGGCCCAGGGGGTAGTAGAAAAAGTAATAAAATCGGCGCATCATGCCTTCATTGGGCTTCTAGGTAGGAACCTATGAACGTATGGCGTTCCTTGGGACTCAAAGAGTTAGCAAGCATGGCATAAATGGTGACCACTAATTATTCACTAAAATTGTTTGTCTCGGGCTTAAAGTTGCAGATATCATAGCCTAACTGTAAACCACAAAACAACATTCTAACAGCTCTTTTAGGAGGAGTGCAGAATAAGAAACGGTGCCTCTGTGTTTGAAACAGAACAGTGCTGCAAGGCAGGGATAGACCAGCATTGAAGTGGGAACATTTCTAGTGCCTGACTTGTGGCACTTATTATGGTTTCCTTATGCATTTAATGCATGTGCATTCATGCATTCTTGAGAAGAGTGTTGTGAATACCTTGGATCATGCATTCTTGAGAAGAGTGTTGTGAATACCTTGGATCATGCATTCTTGAGAAGAGTGTTGTGAATACCTTGGATCATGCATTCTTGAGAAGAGTGTTGTGAATACCTTGGATCATGCATTCTTGAGAAGAGTGTTGTGAATACCTTGGATCATGCATTCTTGAGAAGAGTGTTGTGAATACCCTGGATCATGCATTCTTAAGAAGAGTGTTCTGAATACCTTAGATCATTGTCAGGGACCTAATCTACTCTATTTAATTTATATGGCTCGCTAGGTAGGCCAGCTGACACACTTAACTACCCAGACACACTTAAGACAATACTCCTGCTGAGTACAAACATAATCTTTAATGTACAATGAACAACAAGACGTAAGACACTTCAACTGAGCTAAGCAGTTCCCATCCGAAACTGCCTTGGCGATGACAGCTTTAAAATCGCTAATCAACCCAGGCCAGTTCCCATGGATCTAGGGAGCACGACTCTTAGCTGACAGTATCTCAGTGCCAATCAATCCACCGTCTATTGCCAAACGGGACTCAGCGATACACGTAAGGTGTATGGTCTAAGTGTGACCGGGCAGTGTTATCGCCATTACAATGTGCGTCACCTGGATAAACTGCTCAAAAAAATACTGCACGGAATGTCTACTACACAAAGGACCTTAACTCTATATTATCTAGTCTGAACATTAAATAGAAACACAGCCTATCGTCAATACTACATGCAAATACCCTATTACACCTAACCGTCGCTAAACCTAATTCTTACCTAGTCACTTGTACCGTCTTGTCTCTCTGTCTCCCCGCACAGAACTGTCCTCAAACCCGCTTGGACAAAGCCTTTTGTATTTCCCCTGAGTTCATGGCTTAACACGCAGCAATCCGTGTCAGCTGAGTGAACTCGACCTGGCTTCTTAACTGGGCCCGGCTTATTGCGTGGTCAAGCTGTCTGTTCGCATACTGAGTTGTACTGAAGGTCAACTCGTACAAACGTGATGATTCACTATAGGACATCTGTTGTGCTTTCCATAGCCGACTGGCCTCTGACAATCATGCATTCTTGAGAAGAGTGTTGTGAATACCTTTGATCATGCATTCTTAAGAAGAGTGTTATGAATACCTTAGATCATGCATTCTTGAGAAGTGTGTTGTGAATACCTTGGATCATGCATTCTTGAGAAGAGTGTTGTGAATACCTTGGATCATGCATTCTTGAGAAGAGTGTTGTGAATACCTTGGATCATGCATTCTTGAGAAGAGTGTTGTGAATACCTTGGATCATGCATTCTTGAGAAGAGTGTTGTGAATACCTTGGATCATGCATTCTTGAGAAGAGTGTTGTGAATACCTTGGATCATGTATTCTTGAGAAGAGTGTTGTGAATACCTTAGACTGCCTGAGTAACTAACAATGATTCCATGGAAATGGCTAATGAAAGTAGAACATTGTATACAACAATGAGAAGGAGACAAAGTTCTTTGGTTATGTAATGAGAAAAGGTGCTGGAAAAAAATCATGATGACTGGGAAGATCACTGGTAGAAGAGGCAGACCAAGAAAAACGATGATGGATGGCTGAAGACAGTTGCAAGGAGGAATATCATCGGTCGAATTGATCCAGAACACCAAAAGAGCGAGAGCGTGCCAGCTGCATTCACTTGATGATGATGATAATGATGTGTACTATTAGCTTTGCTGAGACTGCAGTCTGTGGCAGTTTTTTTCACAAGGGGCATTGATGGCCATTCTGTGTGGTTTTCCCTAGCACAGTAACAAAGCAGCTATGGGGGGTGACCTGTTTACTGAGACGTTTTAACCACAGTTAATACCCCCAGTCATAGGATGAAGAAGGTAGTAACATAGTGGGAACCTCATGAGGGGAAAGTGGTCAGAGCATCACCAGACAGGCACTGAAATGAGAAACAAATGAATTAAATGAAATATGATGTACGCGAGAAATCCTTACATGAATATTGTGAAGACAGGCTGAAGGGGCTGCACTAGATTGCATTTTGATATTGAAAGAATTGCACAGGATAAAAGGGAATTGAGGACTAGACTGTGAGCCTTATGTGACGTATAAGGGCACAGCAGGAAGTTGATAGTGATGATGAACGGAAGTATCCAGATCAGAAGAGCAGGACCTGTTATTCTTCTACTGTGATCCTTCTGTCACAAAATGTATACCACAAGTCCTGTAGTCTTGCTGAAAGCTATCGTGCAGCCCATATCTTCTGGTGTGCCATACAGCCTTAACTTCATTGAGGTTGGAACCGACCAGATTTCTTCTCTGAGAGGACTAAAACCAGTCTTACAGTTTACTCTAGGGCAAGAAATAAAATAGTTTGGCAGTCTTGACTAGAATGTCCTGGTACCAACTGCCACAGGGAGTCAGGTTGAAGAAATACAGATGAATGCAGAACATGAGCAGAAATCCTGAGACGAGTATTGTTTAGGTTTAGATGACGGATCAACATCATGGCTCAAGGGCAGTGCTCCGTTCTGCTTCTGACTGAAGCCCGAGTCCGAAGAATTTCAGTGCAGTGCATGAACTCCGTATCACTGGCAAGGATCCTGAAATACTTTGGGTAGATTTTAAACTCCACATTTGTGCCCAGGCAGCGCAGTTAGACTACTCTTTTTTTTTTAAATTTCCAACTGCCAAGGTATTTTTTTTTTTACATGCGCAAAAATACACACTGGCGTCCAATCTTACAACCCAGAGACCAGGGGAAATTACTAGATGTCCACGGGAAAAAATCCCAGCCTTGACCGGAGCTTGAACCCGGGACCTCCAGCACTAGAAGCGGATGCCATGCCTTGAGACCATACATCCTCTGTATTGCTGAGAGAGGCCAGAGGTGCTGGACTGTATTCCATTCATGATATCAAAAAGGTTTAAACAAGCTAGAGGAGAATGGAGGTCCTGGCTGTGAGTCCTGCATGAGGACAAACAGCACGACAGAATGATTACGTTGATGATGTGGAAATATTGTCTATAGGTATATTGATAGTACTTCAAAATTTTGTTTCAATTTCAGGTTTTACAGAACTTGGGCAAAGCAGAAAAGACAACAGATGATGTATTTAATGAGAATGTTCTTAAAGTAGAAAGACAGCAGGTACAATATTTGTCTCTGTTTTTCTGATTCTTTGGTGCTTTATTAATTTCCTACCCTAGACAACATATCAGGACAGTCCAACATTTTAGAGGGTGGTAAGACTGGGTTTCCCGGCTTTCTGATGCTTTAAATGATACCAAAACATCTAGAACTGGTCCTAACCCCAACCCACATATGTCCTACGAGAGCGTGCAGCCTAGCTCCCACTACTGCATGCAGCCTAGGTCCCACTACTGCATGCAGCCTAGATCTCGTCGACGGCATGCAGCCTATCTATCACCTCCTGAAATATTATTGCCTGTGACCTGTTGATTTTTCCTGTTTGGGGTAAGATATTAATAAAGCACCCATTCCTTTAAAGGAGTTCATCTTTTATAGTTGGGGAAAGACTTAGCACATTTGTTTTTATTTGGTTATGCTTAAACTTTTTTGTCTGTTTTCACCACCCCAGAAACTTCCACTAGTAAAGTAGAGGGTCTTTTCTACGCCTTTCATGCATATTGGGTGTATAGGGCTAGACCTTTATTAGATAGACTAAACAGCACTTGGTGGGTGATGTGGTCAGCATATTATGAAAATAAAATTTAAAAAAAAAACACACACACACTCCCATGCACTCACCCACTTACACACTCATGCATAAACATATACATACACACACACCCGCATACAAAACACATACATACATTTTACATACACAGCCTCTCTCTCTCTCACACACACGCAAACAAACACACAGACACACATACAGAGAGAGACACATACAGAGAGAGACACATACACAGACAGTTACTAATAAACTACATTCACTCATTTACTGCTCCCTGCACAAAACAGAGGGAATTAAATTGTGTGATGGACTAAACAAGTTCCAGTGAATCAAGAGGTGAAGGCATTCGACTCACAGCTCATGGCAATAGTCAGTGTGTCCAGCAAGACCTGTTTGGGCTCAGCAAAGTCTTTCACAATTAGAGCGTGGGATTTCAAGATTATTGAGTGAACAGTGCGAAGGCACAGATAGATCATTACTGTCTGAGGAGAATGACGCTGCTAGGAGTTACCAGGGAATCTGGCCAACACTCAACACTCAGGGGAAGGATGAGACGGATATACAATCAGGCGGTTACTGGTGCCATCGGAATTTAAACTCTTCGCTTGCTGCTGAAGATGGGGACTGAGCACTTATGAGAGTGTCCCGAGTGCTGTGATGTCGATTCTTAATTCAACATTCATTCATTCAATAGGATCATTGTTGCTGTCACATGTGTTGTACATCTCAGATACTCACCGTTTTACCTGTCTGCAAATTTTTTTTCAAAGATGAGCACAAGGTTATTCATCTTGTTATTCCCCTTGTCGTTTTTACATTTTACTGCATGTAACGGTGACGAGTAAGTTGTTTTGTTTTTAACATGCATGTACAGTTTTTTTTACAGCAAAAATTAAAAACAGATTTTATATTATAAAAAAACCATAGCTATTTTAATAGACATAGAGATAGCCTTCATGACCTCTGCACTTTAAATTCTACATATATTTTCTTAGGAAATAGCTCACCATCTCCAGAAAGAGTTGAAAACATATGTCCATTGTCTACGAGGTAAGTCAGTTATTCCCTGAGTCGTTTATTCCATAGGAATTTTGCGTTTTTGTAGCTTCCATTTTCTTGTGTGGGTTCCAGGGCCCCATTTTGGGGAGGCTGAGGATGGGGAGGGGGGGGGGGAATAGACCCACTGCCTCCCTAACAAGCATGTCTTAGTAGGCGACTGTAAGGTGTTTTCCTTCAAAGTTAGAGTGAATCTAACTGAAAGGTGAGAAACCAACGGTCTGCACACAAGTAAGCCAGATCTGTAAAATGGTTGTGCATGTAAAACTCAAGTTCTGGAATAAGACCACAGTCCAGAAGGGGATGAACAACCAGAACTTTCCACCAGAGTTTACAGCCAGTGAACGAAATGAAGACGAGAAGAGAATGCTTCCATTGGGTTTCATCAATACCACTTGTGCATTATTTTATATTGTGAAGTTATTTTTGTTAGGAAATCCTCTGGCAGACTTCATTGAACATGTTTTTAGCCCATAAGGCTCATTCTCTCTGTACTTTTTTTTTTTTACATGATGAGAGCATTGCACAAAGCACTCATCTCTGTAGGTCCAGCAGCAGCCCCTGGGTATCTTTAACTCAGGAGCTCATGAATTGAGGGATATTCTTAGACTGAATTCACAACATCCAGGTGGTACAGGCTGAGCCACTTAACCTCTAAATATGGACACCATAAAAGATCTGAACATCAAGGAAGATTGGCTGATAAACAGCATCTTGTCCTGGAATATTTTGGCCTTATCAGACACCACAGCAGATTGGACAAAACAATAGCAACGAAGACGGGCACAGAATATAAGTGGCTTCTTGGGTATAAAAGTGAACAAGATGGGAAAGCCTTAAGAGGTCGAGTTTCTTTCAGACAGACTGAAAAGGTTCTGCAAAGGACTTGCTATATGCTAATGTCTTCATCTCCATATGTACATCATTCTAGTTCTCTTGAGGGGGCTACGTGGTCTCGAGGCATGGTGTCCAACTCAAATGCTAGAGGTTCCGGGTTCTATCCCCGGTAAGGGCTTGGATTTTTTCACCTCGACTTAGACTTTTAGTGATTTCCCCTGGTTTCTGGGTAGTGAGATTGGACGCCCGTGTGCATTGTCGCTCACGTAAAAAATCCCTTAGTAGTTGATAATCGAAAAAAGTGTCCTAATGGCGCTGCCCTGATAAAATTTGGAGTTAAAAATCTACCAAAAGTATTTCAGGATCCTCGCCGGTGCTACAGAGTCTATCTGGTAATCTGGTTATCCTAGTTTCAGCTTCATAGCAAACGGGTCACCCCATAGTTGCTCCGCTCCTGTGCCAACGACAAACGCGGGTAGCTCACAGTGTCTACAGAGTCTGCGCTGTGCTGAGCTTCTTCGGACTTGAATTAGAAGAAGAATAGAGCACTGATGGGTTACTACCTGTGTTATGTAGTACCTATGGTGTTGATCCGTTGTCCAAACCTCAAACCTCAAACCTCAAATCTAGTTCTCTTGTACTGCTTCAGTTATTTTTGTGGTACTGCTTGTGGGTTGTAGGGTTTCGGTTTTGGAGAAAAACAAATTCCCTGCGTGTTCCAGGGTCCCATTTTTTTGGGATAAAAGAATAGACCCACTGCTGCCTAACAAGCATGTCATAAGAGTCCACTAATTAAGAGATGTTTCCTTCCAAGTTGGCGTGCATCTGCCTGAGAGATGAGGAATTGACAGTCTGCACACCAATATAAAAGAGATCTGTAAAATGGATATAATTGCAAAACTCAGGTTCTGGAAGAAGAGCAAAGTCCAGAAGTGGATGAGCGACCAGACATGTCGGCTGGAGTGTACAGCCAGTGAATGCAAAGAAGAACAACAACAAGAAAAAGAAGAGGAATGGAAAAAAATAGACTCATTGCCCCCTAACAAGCATTTCATAACAAGTCAATTAATTAGGGTTTTCCAGAAATAAGATGTATTGGATCAAAAGAGGCAGATATTGCAGCTTAGCTGTAAACCTCAGCACAACCTGCCAACCGCTCTTTTAAAACCAAAACACAGTAGAAGTTTTACTTTTATTTGGTTAGTTCTGTTGTATTGCTTTTGTTTAGTCAGTTTAAAAAAAAAATTACTTTTGTTAAGTTAGTTTTGTTGTATTGCTTTTGTTTAGCCAGTTCTCTTATTCTGATTTTGTTTAGTTCTGGTATGCTGCATTTGTTTCATTAGTTCTGCTTTATTAATTGTGTTTAGCCAGTTATAGTATGCCTTTGTTTAATTAAATAAGTAGTACTACTTTGTTTAGTTAGTTCTATTATACTGCTTTTGATTAGTTAGTTGTTTTTTTTTGTTGGTACTGATACATGCTGTTGAAGATCGCAGGTTGTGATGAGGCATGATCACCCACGTCAGTTGGCAAGACATTTGATGATGATTATGTACTGCTTTTGTTTAGTTAGTAGTGTTGTGCTACGTTTGCTTAATTCTGTTGTATTGCTTTTGTTTCGTTAGTTCTTTTGTACTTTTTCTGTTTAGCAAGTTCTGTTGTTCTTTTTTTCTTTTTGCTATTTAGCTAGTTCTGTTGGTACTATTTTTTGTGTGTGTGTGAATATTGTGCAGTGTACTGCTTTTTCTTAGTTCTGTTTCTGTGTGACATTTGTTTCTGAAACCTAACTGTCTTGATTCCATAGAGATGAACCAAGCCACATTGAGTTTAAACACAGTTCTGTCAGAAATCTATGAACCTGAATGGACCAAGGAATCTGTATTCAAAAGCCAGCTACAGGTGGGTTCTATATTCAGTACACAATTTTCATTATATCATAGTTCGATATCTGAAAATTTCATTATTTTGTTCATTTGTAAGGGTGTTCTAAATGCATTAGGAAAAACAACATAATATATCGTAGTGACCCTTCTCTTATTGAATCCATATTGAGGGTTAGCTCATTCCTAGTAACCTCATCTCAGAGACAACAAGATACAAAATCTAATCAATCATGATTACAACTTTTAAAAAAAACGGATAAAAAAATTGAATTAGACAGAAAAGAAACATAAAAGCAAACTTAATAAAAGCTTACAAAAAGACGAGGAAGGTAAGTTTGAAGAAGTAGGATATGTCAGCTGAAAGGCACACACATTTTTGCCATGCTATAAATGGGCACAATACGATTATATCCACAGATGAACGAAGAAGCAGAAGAAATCTACAAGGTTAGACTGGTGTAACGATCATATGCTCTCCTAATGGGCCCTTAATAACATATAGGTGTGTCATGGAGGGTATGCATAGAATGAAACGCTGAAGGACGTTGGAGAGCCACATCTGTAGAACAGAAAAAAATTGGGCACACAGTTATCAGCTGGGACACAAACAGAAAAAGAAGTTATTTTCAGGCAGAGACCAGGATAAGAAAGCACAAGAGAGAACTACAAAAGATGGGAGGACAGGTGGGGGAAGGGAAACCAGAAGAATGAGGGGGAGAGAGAGAGAGAGAGGAGAGAGAGGATGAACAATAAGAAAAGATACTTGTTAAATGATTACTGATCCCAGGAAGGTTAACCCGGTCAACAGATGCCTGCAGAAGTCAGATGTCCAAATGGCGCAAATATCGCAGCCATGCTGTTAATGGGCTTAACGAATGGGCAGAACACATTTACTTCTTCAGATTAAAGCAGAAGAGGAAGAATGATTACTGATCTAAGAATTGACATCATAGATACTTCCTTTCCTGCAGTAAATATCTTACGGTGACTTCCATTGGCATGTTGGTTGTATACATGTCATACTGTTCCATTCATACAACCTTTGTTTGCTGGATCCACACATTGTTCTAAATTCACACAACCTTACACCTGTTGTGTCATCTAACGTTGTATCTCCCATCAGCGTTAATTCGTAAATGACATTCATAATTTATCTCCTTGTCCACCACAAGGGTAGCAGAAAATCTGCTTGTTCAATTCCCTCAGGCTTCTGCATGTCCTAAGGACAGCATATACATGTGAGTCCCTGTAATTTAGATGTGGTGATACTTGGTATCCACTCATGCCACAGTTGCTCTTGTTGAATCTTTGGCTGTGTTTAACTGTGTGGTAAACTGGAGGAACTATCAGCAATAGCAAAAGATATGATGGTTGGTCATGGGAGGATACTTGATCTGTTCTCTATTGGGGACTTAGAAGGACTAATTGAAGGCAGAAGACACACAAGTACTGAATGAGCAATGCCGACAATGTTTATTTAATTGAAATATAGTTTCTTTACCTAAATACCCGAGTTAATCATGTACAATTGCTGATTAGAGAATAGTTATGTGGCAGATCGATCAGTCGGTTTGTCCCCTCTGGGCTGCTCCTAAAAGTTTGCCAACCTAGATTAAAAAAAAAATATGTTCAGCCTGGATGGCAGACCAACAGGCACCCAATTCGACCTGCAAAAAATGTACAGTGGGGGGCGCCTGTAGTGGCTACACCATCCTGGAGTCACCTGCAATACTGTGCGGATGAGGGCAATGATGCGGAAGCTGTAGAGATGTGTTAGTTTTGACAAATGATAACAAAACACCTTTTACAAGTTGAAAAAAAATTTATTAATGAGAACACCATGGACAGATAAAAATGAGTAATGAAGATGTCTAGAAAGAAATTAAACTACAAAATGAACTGATTAACATATCAGAAAGAGGCAGTGTATACTCTGTGTACTCTTTGGTCATGACATGAGAAGTAGAAAACTGAAGTACATTGCGCCAGTGGGAAAGTTAGAGAAATTAAATGAACATTGAATTAATAATTAACATCACAGCACTCGGGACACTCCCATAAGCATTTTGTCCCCATCTTCAGCAGCAAGTGAAGATTTCCAATCCCGATGGTACGTGGAACTGTCAAATTGTACATCCCGTATCGCATTTCTCTTAGAGGGGAAGAGATGCAGAGGTGTACCTCATGGCATGGAAGATCATCTCTGTTACAAGTACATGAGACAGAAGGTAGTGGGTAGACATGACTGCCAACACAGCACCACATGGACTTTAAGAAGAACCTAAAATGTATCATTTGTAGCACAAACCAGTGGATAAGGCTTGTTTGATATTTTTTATGTTTACAGGTGTTTGAGCTACTTTGGAATGACTTCCTCCAGAGTGTGCAGGATTCTGTTGTTACTCCTCTGAACAACTATCTACAGTGTTTTCCAGCTCTGAAAGTAAGATTAAGGTCTCAGTATCTTCATAGGTACATGATGCTCCATCAGGGCAGAAGATATGATCATTACCTTATTCATCTGCTCCGTTGTAGCACAGGCTCTCAACCAACACATGCAAGACCCTCCTATTTTTTGACAACTCCCTTCTGACCTTGCCATCTCTGCCTCCTAACTGGTTTTGGTTACCGTCTCCCTCTATTTCTTTTGTTGTGTGGATGTATGAGAAATGTTTTTCTGGTTGTACCATTATCAGGTTTTCTCAGTGTATTAGAGAGGGGGAAAATAGTTTTTGCTAACTCTCTTTATGGCTTTCACCATATTTTGTCATCTCCCTCTGATTCTTTTCTGTTACATCTTCCTCTGTTTCTTTTGTTCTATTTCACGAGAAAGGCCTTTCTAGTTATACTGTTATCAGGTTTTCTCAATGTATTCAGAGCACAAATTAGGTTTTAGCCAACTCCCTTCATGACCTTTCCTCCTCTTGCAGCTCCCTCTATTTCGTGTGTTCTGTTGGTTCATGATAAATGACGTTTTCTTAGCATGATGTGGAGATATTTAAACTTGAAAATTTAGTCTTTGCAGTTTGGTGGGGAAACAGTAAAGGAAAGACAGCCAGATAAATACAGGGATCATTAGACCAGATAGCATAATTAGAAGAGCACAGACCTGATCTAACATTCTGGTCATTTCAGGAATTAAAACAGTGTTTTCTCATAGTGAATTTAAATCATACAGACACACCTACTGAACAGGAGAATAGTGAGACTGGCTGAAGCTTTAACAATTGCACACACAAAAACTGAACACATATTCTCTTCTTAATGAGCTGTATAAGGGACAGTCTTGCAGGACATATTCTGCAGCTTTTCTGCACAGTAAACTTGGGCACAGTGGTGAACCATTCAGTCGAAGCTTAGGCAAATGTTTGTAAACTTTTAATTTGAGAAGATGTATTGTAGAAATGTTGAATTAGAAATCGACATCATGAAACTCAGGACAACACCATATGCGCTCCGTCCCTATCTTCAGCAGCAAGCAAAGAGTTAAAATTCCTATAGTAATCTTGTGCCATTCTATAGAAATATAGGTCTGGCCCTATGTGCCCTAAAGGAGTTCTTTACTATATAAAAAAAAACTTATGCTATCTTCCTGGGACCTTTAAAGTGTGTTGTAGAAAATAACCATCTAAAGGTTATAAAAAGTAAAGAAGCTTTTTTCCAAACCTTTGGGTGAATTGTGTAGATAAGGCTAGACTAAATCAGGGTTTCAGTAGCAAAGTGGTCAAGCCGTTTGCCTCGCGCTATGAAGGTCATGGGTTTGTTCCACGGCTGTGCCCTTGAGTTCACAAGTGCAATTTTAATGGAGATCCCTACTGTTTAGGCCAGGCTCTGCGGGACGCTTTCAGCAGGCGGCTAGCCGTTCTTCTGAGAGAGAGAGACCGAGCCATATGGGATCAAACCCGGTGCAATGAAGTTGATCCTCTTGACTTTAACCTTGAACTTGAACCTTTTAAGGCCTATACTTGTATCTTATAGACCAGTCGACACTCATTAGGTCATGGTGTCAACATCACGCCAGCCCCCTTAACTTCCCAAAACTACCTGGTACCCATTTAAGACTGGGTCGACGTCGGAGCCAAGGTCATTCTTGAAAAAGTCCAGCTCCATCAGGACCTGAACTCGTGACCTTCTAATCCACAGGCAAGCATTTAGCTGCTACGCTGCGGCGGCAACCTCATAAAGGTTATAAAAATGACAGATTTGAGATTTTGGAGGATAAGTAAAAAATAGAAAAAACTATTAGATTGTTCATTTAAGGAAACTCATTACAGGATAACAAAGGAAATTATTAAAATGATTTGATTAGCATAATTTATATTGGTCAATTTAAAAAAAATCCTCAGTCGAAGGTGGCAAAGCGAGGTCGTAAAATGGTCGATTACGACAACTGCCGACATCACTTAGAGGTGCTGCTGTCTGCCAAGAAGAAAGATGAAGTGAAGATTCACAAGGTATATATGATTGTCTTGATTCTCCTTTACATGCTGTCTGTCTTGATTCTTTACATACTGTCTGTCTTGATTCTTCATTGCATGCTATCTGTCTTGATTCTTTACATACCGTCTCTCTTGATTCTTCTTTGCATGCTGTGTCTTGATTATTTACATACTGTCTGTCTTGATTCTTTACATACTTTATGTCTTCATTCTTCTTTACATGCTTTCTGTCTTGATTCTTTACATACTTTCTGTCTTCATTCTTCTTTACATGCTGTCTGTCTTGATTCTTTACATGCTGTCTGTCTTGTTTCTTATTTGCATGCTATCTGTCTTCATTCTTCTTTACATACTGTCTGTCTTGATTCTTCTTTACATATTGTCTGTCTTGATTCTTTTTTACATATTGTCTGTCTTGATTCTTTTTTGCATGCTGTCTGTCTTGATTCTTCTTTACATGCTGTGTCTTGATTCTTCTTTACATGCTGTCTGTCTTGATTCTTCTTTACATGCTGTCTGTCTTGATTCTTTACATGCTGTCTGTCTTGATTCTTTACATGCTGTCTGTCTTGATTCTTTACATACTGTCTGTCTTGATTCTTTACATGCTGTCTGTCTTGATTCTTTACATGCTGTCTGTCTTGATTCTTTACATGCTGTCTGTCTTGATTCTTTACATGCTGTCTGTCTTGATTCTTCTTTACATGCTGTGTCTTGATTCTTTACATGCTGTCTGTCTTGATTCTTCTTTACATGCTGTGTCTTGATTCTTCTTTACATGCTGTCTGTCTTATTTCTTCTTTACATGCTGTCTGTCTTATTTCTTCTTTACATGCTGTGTCTTGATTCTTCTTTACAGGCTGTTTGTCTTGATTCTTCTTTACATGCTGTGTCTTGATTCTTCTTTACATGCTGTGTCTTGATTCTTCTTTACATGCTGTCTGTCTTGATTCTTCTTTACATGCTGTCTGTCTTATTTCTTCTTTACATGCTGTTTGTCTTGATTCTTCTTTACATGCTGTTTGTCTTGATTCTTCTTTACATGCTATGTCTTGATTCTTCTTTACATACTGTCTGTCTTGATTCTTCTTTACATGCTGTCTGTCTTGATTCTTCTTTACATGCTGTCTGTCTTGATTCTTTACATACTGTCTGTCTTGATTCTTCTTTACATGCTGTCTGTCTTGATTCTTCTTTACATGCTGTGTCTTGATTCTTCTTTACATGCTGTGTCTTGATTCTTCTTTACATGCTGTGTCTTGATTCTTCTTTACATGCTGTCTGTCTTGATTCTTCTTTACATGCTGTCTGTCTTGATTCTTCTTTACATGCTGTGTCTTGATTCTTCTTTACATACTGTGTCTTGATTCTTCTTACATGATTCTTCTTTACATCTGTCTTGATTCTTCTTTACATGCTGTGTCTTGATTCTTCTTTACATGCTGTGTCTTGATTCTTCTTTACATGCTGTGTCTTGATTCTTCTTTACATGCTGTCTGTCTTGATTCTTCTTTACATGCTGTGTCTTGATTCTTCTTTACATGCTGTGTCTTGATTCTTCTTTACATGCTGTGTCTTGATTCTTCTTTACATCTTGATTCTTCTTTACATACTGTCTGTCTTGATTCTTCTTTACATGCTGTGTCTTGATTCTTCTTTACATGCTGTGTCTTGATTCTTCTTTACATGCTGTGTCTTGATTCTTCTTTACATGCTGTGTCTTGATTCTTCTTTACATACTGTCTGTCTTGATTCTCCTTTACATGCTGTGTCTTGATTCTTCTTTACATGCTGTCTGTGTGCAGTGGTGCGATCCCTGGCTTGACCTTTTGGCATTTCATTGAAAATCAAGCTTTATGTATGTATGTAAATTGTACCCCACCAGAACAACACCCAGTGACACAAAGTGCCACCATGCCGATGAGGATCACCTGTAGAGAGGTCCCAGAAACCCAGTTCAGCCGTTAGGCCATATTTCAGGCCGGGTTATATTTAGGGCCCCCGGCAAAACCCAGGGTGGGGCTTAAAAATAACTAAAAATTGCATCCCACGAGTGGATGACGAAATTAAACCAAGCTGTAAAGAATAGCGGATGATTTGTATCACCCCACAAATGTCACGTCTGTGACATTCTCATCTGAAAATCTCTGGTGTGGAGAACGAAAATTAAAAAAAGATTTTTCTTAATTTTTCTCATCTCCTCCTCCTCTTTATCCTCCATCACAACCTCCTGCTGCTCCTCATCTTCCTCCTCATTCCTTCATCTCTCAGTAAAGAATTCACTCTTACCCAACTCATACCAAGTTTTTTGTTGTTGCCAACATGTTCATCTTCTTCTTTTTTTCACATCCTTTTTTACTGCCTAGGGCGTTGAGGGAGATACAAGGTTCTGCTTCTTGCTTTTCTGTCTGCTGCTACCATTGACACATCTTGCTGGTGTAGAGTTACTTTGATGTTATCTTTCCATTTGTTCTTGGTCTGCCTCGTGCTCTGCGTCCATCTCCTCTTTTGGTGTATGCCTTGTATGGTAGGGTGTCACAGGGCATTCTCTCTGAGAGGGCAGACCGTTCAATTTGTTGTTTTTATATGTAATTTAGAACTAGTTCTGTGCCAACTTTTTTCCTCGCATGACCTCATTCCTGAGGTAATCTCTTCTGGCCACTTTCTCACCACAGAATGGAATGTAGTTACTATTTTCCTACAGGATGAGGTAGCCAGTCTGTCTCATACCAAACCTCCTTGGTTGCCTATTATGGCATGCATGATAGAAAATAGTTTTACTGCTCTTTGAGTCATTGTCTTGATTACTACCGTGTAAGAGCTAGCCTTGAATGTATCTGTAAACAGTAACCAAAATGTGAGGCAGACATTAAAATATTGCCAAGCTGTTTTACTGCCACACTACTATATGTGTGTGTGTGCATGCAGGGCTTTTTCTCTGGGGGTACATTGGGGTAAGCAAAGCGGCACCTTTTTTTTAAAGCATTTTTTTTTCAAATCTGTTGTAAAAACCACTTTTTTGTGAGTACCGACACCTTTTAACCTACAAAATAAGCCCTGATATATATATATATATATATCGGCGTCTGTGACTTAGGCGTTGCGAATACGGTTTGTAATGCTGGGGTGCCAGGCTCGATTCCACCTGCGGGCTGTGCGCTTTGCTTTGGTTTCGACATTGGTATTGAGAAGCCGACCGTCCAGAAAGCAATGGCAAACTACTGGACCTAAATTTGCCTAAAAAAACCACAGCCAGAAAATGCTGGGGTTGGTTCTGCAACGTCCTGTAAAGGATAGGCAACTAACTATATATATATATATAAGATTAGAACTGGCTTGAAAATTATCCTTTACCTTACTTTATAGCACTTTCCTGTTTTCAATACTTTTTTTTTTTTTTTTTTTGACATTTGTTTAACAACAGAATATATGTATATCTTTCACATGCCAGGCCCAGGAGGAAATGAAAGAAGCCAAACGAATTTATGAAGAGTTAAACAGCGAATTGCGTAGTGAGTTGCCAGATTTCAACAACAGGTAAGGGGAAATTTCACTGATGCTATAATTGCTTCAGTATTTGTTTATGGGTTTATGTTGATTGCCTAAACATTTTATTTCTACCTCTTTTCCTTCCCCCCCCCCCCCCCCCCCCCCCCCATCCATGCTTTAATCACTTACTAAAGCATAAGCCCTCAGCCACCTTACACCTGGTCATCATCTTTTTATTCTTCTTCCTAGCATTCACCTGCTTTAAACTCCGGCAAAAAGTGCTTGACTTTGGTCTTTTCCCCAGAACTTGTGTTTTGTGTGCACATCCGTTTTACAAATCTGGCTTATTTGTGCAGATTGTTGGTTACTCGCCTCTCAGGCAGATGCACTGTGACTTTGAAGGACCCCCCCCCCCCCTCGTTAGTTGCATTTTGTAACATGCTTGTAAAGGGGGCAGCTGGTTTATTCTTTTTTTCCCCTAAAATGGGGGCCCTAGAGCCCACAGTGGGGGTCCTGTTCTTTATCGTTGTGTGTGTAGATCTCCACCTTTTTTTTATCTCATAGTCTTGTAGTTTGTTGGTCTGCCTTTTTGCCTTAGCAGTGTAGTGGCTAGTGCACTCGCCAGGCAGCTTAGATGCCATGCCAATGCTAAAATAAAAATGTTATATTGGTCATGATCCTATGGGAATTCCTTGTTGTTGTTGTTATTATTGATCCAGCGGCGCATGAGCTTTCGCCCTTTGGCCCAAGCACTGCTGGGGTGTCTGTGGATTACCTTCCTCCCCGGACAGCAGCCAGAAGTGCCCTGTACCAGTTCTAAAGGAAATATTTGTGTTTCTGCCTTCCCCTTTAACACGTAGCTAAGGTGGGGCTCACAGTGTGCTCATTCCCCGCCACCAGATTGCCTGCAGGTTTCGCTGAGCTCTTCATGGCTCTAAGCATGAGTAGTTGGGGCAACTATGGGAATTCCCTGTAAAATTCTTTTTAAAAATTATTATTTTACACAGATCACTAATAAATCTTTAAACAGTATATTTTAAATTTGATTTCTTAAAAATGTGTAAACATGTAATAAAGGGGGTAATCAGTAAACACAAACAGGATAAAGCATTTCATGGAGTACTTTTCCCTGGGCCTAGGAAACAATGTTTCGGGTGACTAATGCAGTAACCCTATGACCTTTATCACTGATATTGACGGGAAAATTTGAGATCAACTTAACCATAAAAAAGCCATAGTGGTCATAAATGGAATCCCTACACCCGTATGCTATTTTTTTTAGTGACTTTTCATATCCTGGCCTATTAAACACTGCGCATATGCACACAGAACCAGGGGAATTTAACAACACTTTTTTTAGAACTTCTTTTTTCGTTCGCTTTAAATAAAATTATCTATATCTGCAATGTTGTCGCTCATATGCTTTTAGAACTCTAGTAACTCAAGTAATCTTTTAGAACTGTCACAGCCAGAAGTGACCAGATTTGATCTTTTTGGGGGCAACAGGATTTAAATCCTCCTCAAAGTTGGATTTTTTATTTGTTGAATATTTCATTGCACATGAATGTCTCTACAGGTGGTTTGGGCAGCTGCTATAGATAATGGACGGGAGAAGACCAAGAGAGAACTGCAGAGAACCATCATCAGGGTAGGCTCAGCCATGGGATTAATGAACATCCAAAACCGGAAAGAGCTAGCAGCCAACTGCCAGACGTGGAGAGCTATGACCTCTGCCCTAAGGCTCAAGAGGAAAGACATAACTAGAATAGATAATAGTGGGAGAACCTCAGCACCACACACAAGTTCTGTAGCATGGGCGAAGACCCTGGAATCTTCATGTTGTAGAAATGTTTCTAGTTCCTATCTGATCTGAACATCGAGGAGAACTGGCTCATAAACAGCATCCTTCCCCCAGAAGCTGAGGCATTTTGGCCATGTGAAACATTCAGGGTAGCCTGGAGAGAATGGTGATGCAGGGCGCAGTGTCTGGAAGACAGGGCAGAAACAGACCTCCGCGAAGGTGAATGGCGATACAAGACACTGGAGATGCATTGGCTGTTGAAGCCCATAATGCTGGAGAATTGAGTAGAGCAAGAAGAAAGATTTTCAAGCGTGCTGTGATGAGAGCAGTGTTCTGTAAAGGACCTGCTGATCGATGGTGTAGAAATGTTCATAACAACAACACATGGTGTGCCATCTCCGCAGTGAAGGTTAGCTTCAGTGTACCCTCTGTTGTCCTTGTAAATATTACGAGGTGAGTCCCCAGTGTCTTCCACAGTGTACCTCTAATACCTTAAAAAAAAGTTTTTATTTTTAATTTTAAAAATTGTGATTTATACATGATTCTATTCTTTAATTTTCAGTCGAGTCACATTCTATGCCAGCTTGCTGTCCAGCTTGTTTGGAGCTGGACAGGTCTTTCACTCAGAGTCTGGCAAGGTGAGATGTTTTTGATGCTCAGATATTGTTTTTGGGTGCTTTTTTCTTTCTTTTCCTGGTGTGTTGCCCAGGATTGTAGTTTTCCTCTGAGGGTTTTGACTTTAAGGACAACTGTTATCAAGTGCAGAATTGAGTCATGCTATTGCTGCACTGCACTTGTCTTCCTCCTCCTTGTAAAATCTGGTTGGTCCTCCACTTCTGACTTTAGTCTTATTCTAGACCTTGAGTTTAGCTTGTACATCCTTTCTTTTTTATTTTAACCAAAATCTGTCTTAATTGTTTCGAGACTGTTAGTTCTTCTCCGCTTCTCAAGCGGATGCACTTCCACTCCAGAGGAAGAACCCTTAATTAGTCGACTTTTATGATGTTTTTTTTTTGGTGGGGGAGGGGGAGCAGTGGATCTACACACACACACATGCATGCACGTACACACACTTCTCAAGCGGATGCACTTCCACTCCAGAGGAAGAACCCTTAATTAGTCGACTTTTATGACGTGTTTTTTGACACACGTGTGTGCATGCTCTCTCTCTCTCTCTCTCTCTCTCTCTCTCTCTCTCTCTCTCTCTCTCTCTCTCTCTCTCTCTCTCTCTCTCTCTCTCTCTCTCTCTCTCTCCCCCTCCCTCCCTCTCTCCCTCTCTCTCTCTCCCTCTCTCTCTCTTTCTCTCTCGGGTTGTGAAACTCGCACATCAATCATCAACTCATTTATGTTTGTCATTATTTTTTGACTCCAGTGTTGATTAGTTCCTGATTGTTGAATTTTGTAGCTATAGTTTTAATGGGATGAGTTAGTGGGGAATGGTCAAACCTTCTGCTAGCCTTTGGGATACCTCATGGGCAGGGGTAGAGTACCCTCCTAGCTCCCCGATCACGGTTACATGAAGTCATGGCAGGCAGATGCTGTTACAAGTGGTGGGTAGCCTGACGGCAAGGACTGCAAGACGTTGATGTAGCTAGTATTCTGCCAACCGTTCTTAGTCGCCTTTTGCAGCATACATTGTAGGTTCTGGTTTTTCTTCTTCTGTGTTCACTCATTTTCGGGCCAAATCCACCCGGAAGTCTAGATCAGTTATTTTTATCAAAGTCAGAATGCATCTGCCTGAGAGGCAAGGAACCAACCGTCTGCATACGTATGATTCAGATCTGTAAAACCGATGCACATGCAACACTCAGGATCTGGAATGGGACGACAGTCCTGAAGTGGTAGAACAACTAGAACTTTTTGCCAGAGTTAACAGCTGATGAAACGTGAAGAAGAAGAAAAAGTTAATTTTTAGAAAATGTTTTTTTACAGACTTGACTATTGTTGTTTCTCCAAGTATATTTTTATTACAGACTGATCTGTTGTTACTGTTTCTGCAGGCGTATTTAACACTTGAGGACATCTGCCAGGAATTGGGCAAAGATTTTGAGCAATTTATATACAAACCAAGACAGACCCTTAGCAAGTCTATCTCGTCAAAGTGAGTTCTTCTTTGTGATCGCTTTTGTCGTTTTCTTTATTGTTATTTTTAATATCTCTCCTTAGCATTCCCTGGCTGTAAATTCTGGCGGAAAGTTCTGGTAGTTCATCTTCTCATGGACTGGTCTTATACCAGAACTTGAATTTTATGTGCACACCCATCTTAAGAGATCTTATTATTTGTATGCAGACTGTTGGTTTCTCCCCTCTTATGCAGATGCTCTTTGACTTAGGAGGAATTTGATATCTTATGTATGCAAGCATGCTAACTGCAGCTCTCTGTTTTAACATGAAAGTTGCTGTTATCAAGAGCTTTCGTATTCATTCCTATAACTAAAATGTGTTATCACTGGAACTGACAGGGTAAAATGAAAAAGGGCAGACTAAACAAAAGCATGTGGAGAAGAATGATAGGTAAGTAACAAATATGGGAAGGACATGGCTGAGCTGCCTGTGATGGCAGAGAGATAAAAGACAGAAGAAGAGAAGAAGAAATATAAATTCATACCATAACATAGTGTTTTATTTTATTTGTTAGGAATACAAGCACAATTCTAGTTGTTGGTTGATAGGACATCTTTGGTAATTGGTGATGAAAATAGCAGACTGGAAGGATGTTTAACCCTGTCATCCTGAGAAGCCACAAAACTGACACTTCTGATTGAGACTAGCTCCCCATAAATGTCACTTTTCTGACTTGTTATAGTGACCTGTTTACAAGACGTATAGGTAATGCTTTTGGCTATGCTCATGCCTGCACAAATGTTTATGAGGTCAGGATATAAATAGATTAACTAAAAATAGCATTTCGATGGGTTGCCTTCAGACCACATGGGGGGGGGGGGGGGGGGGGGAAAGGGTGAAAGCCAAGTTGAAGTCAAATGCCCCCATACACCTCAGTGATGGAGGTCACGGCATGAGTTACCTGATACATTTAAGTTACCTGATACATTTATTTGTTAGGCCCCAGGGAATATATATATATATATATATATATATATATATATATATATATATATATATGTGTGTGTGTTTGTTTGTGTGTATTTTTGTTTAAATTAGTGACCCGTGTAAAATTGTTGTTTTTAACAGATTTCTGTTGATAATTCCAATGTAGTCATTACCATTTTTTTCAGCATTATTAAGGCGAAGGGGTTAAAGATGAGAGAAACTGGTGTGGGTTCTAAGGACTAAAGTCCAGAAGTGAATAAACAACCAGAACTTTCCGCCAGAGTTTACATTTGATAAACAAGAAGAAGAAGGAAAAAAAAAAAGACGAAGAAGAAGAAGACTGTGTATTTCCAACATTCAAGCATTTGTATGGAGCTATGGTAGAGCGGTTGCCAGACACTAGCTGTTCACGTATCTTAGGTTTGATTTTGCACTGACTGATGTTTCAACCTGGCTGCCAGGTTGGACCAGCCCCAAATGAGTACTAGGAAATATCCTTGGAGATCAAGGCTGCTGGCATGGTGTTGACCTCATCACCCATCAAGTGACTTCCGGACCAAACCGGTGGAGGCATGGCATAATCTTTCTCTTCGGGGTTGTTTTGTTTCTGACAGCGCTTTGCTGGTGCAGTTTCCACATGTGGATGGTAGTCTACGATTTTGCTGCCTGAGCTGCTGCGTTTAGTCCTTGGTGCGGCCTTGTGAGCTGTGTTTTTCCTGTGGAATGCCTTTCATTTGTGCGGCGATTCAGTATGGCTGGTAGCCGGTTTACGTGTGAGCTGGTGAAATAACTTATGTAATAACTCTACATGTGTATAGCCAGCTTATCATGCCTGACTACTTCTATCAATGACGGACTGCATTTCTGGTAGCGACTATTGGCTTTGGCACCTCTAGCAACTGAATTGTGCATTTGTTGCGTGTGCATACTTCTGGATTGTTCTGGGGCTGATTGTTTGTTGACCAGTTTGTCAAATGCGACAGTGAGGGACATTTTATTTGATTGTCACTAGCACAGGAACGAAGCAGGTTTGGGGAAACCCGATTGCGGTGAAGTTGAGACCTGGACTAAGACTAAGACCCATCAAGTGTCAGTTGGTCTGTAAAGACATGGCTGTAGCACCATATGCCAATGATGAGGATAATTTTTCTCTACTTTTATTTACTACACGTTTGTCTGTCTGTGACCGACAGCTCTGGGGAGAACGGCTTCAGTGATGAAGTCTCGGCCCACGGTTCTCCATCAGTCCAACTGACCAGAAGCTCCCTGGGTTCCAGATGCAGCAGTCCTGGCAAAGGTAGGCACTCTATTCTTTTATCTCATTATATGTTTGCTACGTATATCTTTTGAAATTGCCATAGTGACCATGTGGCTGTCTTAAACTTCCTGTCAGAAGACGTACACTGTAGCTATAGATGGCCGTGTGATTTGTGTATTTCAGGGAAAAGATTTCAGTATTTATGCTTTATTATATGTTGACGTAACACTGTAATAATGCACCTAACGAGATACAGCGAAATATGCCAGACAATAAATTGTGCAGTCTATTGTGTCAGACTGCTTGCCATTCTACACTTTCTCTACTTTTCACACATTAGTGTTTAACCCTTTCATCCTGCGAGTACAGAAATGTTACATCGAGCTTGTTCTGTTGTTTGATAGGGAATCTTGGAATGTGAGCAAACAAATTAAGAGTTTGAAGGCAACTGAGATGTGGTTTTTTGAGAAGAATGCTGCGAATTTCTTAGACTGACAGAATAACTAAGAATGAGTGCCTGGAAATGGCTAATGAAAGTAGAATATTATGTACAACAATAAGAAGAAGACCAGTAAAAGTTCTTTGATCATGTAATGAGAAAAGGAGCACTGGAAAATATCGTGACAACCACTAGAAGAGGCAGAGGCAGACCAAGAGAAGCGATGATGGGTGGCTTAAGACAATGGCATGGAGGAATATCATCAGTAGAAATGATCCAGAACACCAAAGACCGAGATATGTGGTGATGCATGATGCATGAAGGCCTACGCCAGCTGGCAAGGCACTTGATAATGACTGTGTCTGCATTATTTAAATATATACATTCCCTAACTAGCTCTTTTTTTCCTCACCAGACACGCCACAGTCTGTGTACGGCAATCAGGAAGTGCCAGAAATCAAACAGGTTAGAAGCTGTGCGCATCTGTCAGTTTACTTGCCATTCTACTTTTTGTCGCTACTTTTCACAAATCAGTGGTTAACCCTTTCATCATGATAAAAAAACAAACTTTAAAAAAGAAAAACAGCAACCAGGTCGCTGCTAATTTTAAAAATCTTTATTTATTTACATTTGTTTTTGAAATATAACATATATAAAGGGATAATCACACGAGCAGAATAAATATTATGGAAATTGTTTGGGAAGTAAAGGTGATCAGGAAAAAATCTGGATATTCTATTTCATACTTCTTGACCTAGAATATGTGAATACATAACACTTCACACCCCAAGTCAGCTGCATGGGGACCTACAAAGTTGTCTGTATTGATTTCTTACACACAATTAAAAGCTCTGCAAGGCTCTCTGCACTTCATTCTACTCTTTCTCTCTACCTTTCACACATCAGTGATTAAAAGTTCAGGGCACTTGCCATTCTCCCCTTTCTCTCTACCTTTCACACATCAGTGATTAAAAGCACTAGTTTTGCAAGGCTTTGTCTGTCAGGGCACTTGCCATTCTCCCCTTTCTCTCTACCTTTCACACATCAGTGATTAAAAGCACTAGTTTTGCAAGGCTTTGTCTCTCAGGGCACTTGCCATTCTCCCCTTTCTCTCTACCTTTCACACATCAGTGATTAAAAGCACTAGTTTTGCAAGGCTTTGTCTGTCAGGGCACTTGCCATTCTCCCCTTTCTCTCTACCTTTCACACATCAGTGATTAAAAGCACTAGCTTTTTTGCAAGTGATTAAAAGCTAGTTTTGCAAGGCTTTGTCTGTCAGGCACTTGCACTTTCTCTCTACCTTTCACACATCAGTGATTAAAAGCACTAGTTTTGCAAGGCTTTGTCTGTCAGGGCACTTGCCATTCTCCCCTTTCTCTCTACCTTTCACACATCAGTGGTTTAAGAACTGGCTTTGTTCTGCTGTTGCTGTATAACCCAACATCCCATATTGTGCCAACGGCTTTGGACGAAGGAGTGCATTGGGGAGGTTACTAGCCTTATCCTAGGAAGAGGAAATGCAACCTGAAAACTTTGTGTTATGACAGGGCAGGCCAGGCCCTTCGCCTTGGCTGGCAGCTGGTCTAGGAGGGAAGCTCCGACAGGTGGACAGATAGAGCAATGCTCTTCTGATCCGGCAGCTTCTGCAACCTGCCTCGTTCCAAACGTACTGGTTTTATCTTTCCTTTGGCGTAAACAAGGCAGGTCTAGGGAGGAATCATTATGCATGAGCAACATATGGTCTCTACAATACTGCCCAGGCTTTGTGCTATAGAGAGGAGGAACTTCAACCCTGACCTTAATCGATCTCGGAGCAGGTCTTGTTAGTCAAACCCCTTCAGCCGAATTATATAAACATTTTTTTAATGGGGTCAAGTTTTCTGCCGGTCTAGAGGTCTTGGATTCAAATCCGCAAATAGTCAGATTTTTCAACAAATACTTTTGCTCTAAGGTCGACCCAGCCCAAAATGGGTCCCAGGTAAAGTCCTGGGAAGTGAAGCTGGTCTCGGCATGGTGTTTACCACTCACCTGTCAGGGATGATTGGTCAATACAAATCTGCATCATATCCAAATATGGTGCTGGCCTAAAAAAGGGTCCTGTTTTTTTTTTTGGGGAGGGGGGGGGGGGGGGGGGGGGGGGGGGGGTCAAAATATGTAAATTTATAAGTTTCAGATTAGTATTTTCCCCATGTGGGTTCTGGAGTTCCGTTTTGGAGAACAAAGAATAGACTCATTGCTCCCCCTGACAAGCAAGTTGTAAGAGGCAACTAATTAGGGTGTGTGGGTTTTTTTTAAAAAAAGGCGAAGTGCATCTGCATGTGAGGCAAGGAACCATCAGTCTGCATCAGCCAGATCTGTAAAGTGGATTTGCACTCAAAACTAAAGCTCTGGATCAGTACAAAAGTCCAGGAGTGGACAAACAGTCAGAACTTCCGGTGGAGTATAGCCGGTGAATGCGAAGAAGAAGAAGAAGCTAATATTAAGAGCATATGAATTTAGTTAAGTGAATGCAACAGCACCACTGAGTCTTTCTGTTATTGCAAACTTACCTAGCACTGCTGTCAGCCGAAACGAAAAGCTCCAGTGGCTCCCCCACATGAAACCTCTTTTAATGAAGTTCTGGAGATGTCATCAAACCATCTTCCTACCAGGCAGGCTCCGTCGGAAACAGGCTGTCATCTGCCTGGAAGAGGTGTAGTTTCAGAGTTCGGCCACAAGTATTTCAGTCGCTGGAAGAACAAATTCACACATAAATCCAAGAAAGCCAGCGTTATCAAGCATGTAAATGTTACAGACCCCAACAGAGAACCTCATATTGGCTGTGTGGAAAATAGCGTTCAAAATCAGCATCCATGCGTGAGCAGCACTAAGGACTTTCTGTTCCAGCTTAAGCACCAGTTCAGCTCAGAATATCCTGACAGATGGGGAGCTCAGTTATTTCCCTGAGCGGCATCTGTCAAATATGCAGCCAGTGTATGAGAAAGGTAGACAAATTCATCAAGGTTTGATGCAGTCAACTTTGCAGTCCAGCCACCAGGAACATGTAGACACAGATCAGTTATGTGAAGATTCTACATCACATGAAATCGACTCGTTCAAAGATGCAGGGGAAGGATTTCCCTTGGCTGAACAGTTTGACCAGGTTCAACAGAAGACCAGATGTTCCCCAGAAGGAAAAGTTGATGGTGAACTGCAGTATTACGTAATGAAGCTTCTAATTTGTCATTGGTTGGTTTAGTGAAGAATGCTGAGAGAGAGTTGCCAGGTGCTGGACAGTCTGATGCAAGTAAACGGAAGGAGAAAGTTTCTCCGGGGGAACTGCTTGTTGGCGAAACAACAGATGTAGACTCTGAAGCGTCCAGTCTTTCATCTGCTGACCATGGAAATAAAGCTGAAGGGGTCCAGAAATGTATTAAAATTGCTTTGAAATCTATTTCCAAAACAGAGAAATCTATTCCCCTTCTAGGTAAATCTATTCCCATAATGGATAAATCTATTCCTGTGACAGAGAAATCTATTCCCATAGTAGATAAATCTGTTCCCAAAATAGATAAATCTATACCCTTATCAGAAAAATCTATTCCCATAACAGATAAATATGTTCCCACAATGGAGAAATCTAAATCTATTCCCATAATAGAGAAATCTAAACTCATAACGGAGGCGGTTACTTCTGACCTACAGGTCAAGCAGATACCACAAGGATTTGCTTCATGCCAAAACCTGGCCATGGTGATAAAATCTTCCAGTGCTAGCCAGGGACAGCTGAGTGACAGTTACGCGCTGTTTAAAGAATTAAAGCCAGACTCAGATTCCACGGCCCAAAATCGGGACGTGAACAGAAATCTGGCCATGTTGTGTGTCAGTAATGATAGCCAATTTCGGTGTCTCCCTTTTGAGCATCGTGTTGATCCATGTGATATCCAGCCAGTTGAACTACTGAGCCTCATCTCTGGCTCGGCGGCTTCAGGCGGAGCAGGTGCTCCACCAGTTGATGATTTTTATTCATCTTGCCAAGAAAGCAGAGAGCCTGTGGGTAATTTTTACAAACTAGGTGACGATGGCTACAAGAAAATGTCTCCAGCAGATTTCCAAAACTCTGAGGATCAGAAGCAGAGTGTCAATGAAATGTACACAGCCGATAAATTATCCGGAATGGATGTGTCCAGGTGGAAGTCTTCAGTTTTGGCCACGGATCAAAGTACAGAAAAAGCTGCTCAAATTGACAGTCATCAGGTGGAGATGGTAGGCATGTCTGTAGACTTAGATCACAGTCATCAACCGAACAGATGTCCCGATGTGGGAGAGATTTTGGAGAGGGAGACTACAAGTGTTACATGGAATGATACGGTCAGGATGTGGGTGGAGGCGGATACGGATGCGTATTACGTGGACAGGGAGCCTCTCCTTGGTGACTTGAGCGATGAGGATAATGATGCTGAATTTTATACTGTTGGAGAAGGCAGTGATTTTGTCAAGGTGGAGAAGAAAGAGAGCATCAGGGATGTTGAAGCAGAGACTGCGTCTGTCCAGAAGATGCTACCAGCAGACACTGCGAAGTATTACACAATGGCATATGTGGACATTCCTTCACTGGACCAGTCAGAGGATGACCAGCACACAGAATCTTCAAAAGAAAATCCCGTCCAGTACCATGAGCTGGACTGTCAGTCTGCGTCTACAGACAAGACGCAGACTTCAGTGGCGGTCAAGAGTTTGGACACTGAGAAGGAGAAATTCTCTCCCCAGTATTTAGTGAATAAGCTCGGTCTGTTGGTACCACACGGCGATACAGCACCCAGTACTGAGAAAACCAGTGCCGAAGCAGCGGTCAGCACTGAGATGACCACTAGTGCTGAAGAAATGTCCAGCAATGAAGCGTCCAGTAGTCCCGATAACAGCAGTGAAGAACTGATGAATAAAGCCAAACATCGTAAAGATAACATTGCTGCTGTGTTGGCTAATAACAGGTTGAAATTACTGAATGAGCAGCTAGTGAAAGGACAGACTCACAGTTCTCCAAGAAGTAATCACACGCATGGAAAGCCAGCAGATGAATCAGCAGAAACTCTGTGTGACAGTACAGACGATGCAGAAGATAAGAAACATCACAGAAACTTACAGAAGTCAGACAGCTTTGAAGTAAACATTAAGGTGCGGTCTATACCAGATTTAGACAAGCATAGAGAAGAGCTTCAATTTACTGAGACGGTTGGGACAGCAAATCTACTCTTTCAGAGCAGAGAGAATTATAATGACATAGTCTGCAGCCTAAGCTCATGTGGTTTATCACAGACAGAAGTCGTGCCTCACAAGAGTAGATCCTTCGATGACACATTCTCAGATCCTGTGCCAGATGTTTGGGAGAACGATAAATCAACAGAGGACTCTCAAATTATGACGGTCTCGACAGAGAGTGTGTTGCAAGAAAGGAAACCAAGTTGCAGAGATGACCTGGAAGATCC